TGAAAAATATAGTGAAAATTCTTGATTTAAAGTTTTTATAAATAGATTATGATATTTTTAGTGAATTTAAATTAAAAAATAAAAGGTAGATATAGTTTTAGTTATATTATTTTTATTTTTATATTTTAATTTAAATTTAAAAAAAATAGTTTTTTACCCACCCGCAATCGCCCGCAAACGCAAACGCTAGCTGAAACCAGCTTTTGATTTTAAGAGGTTGGGAGCGGTTTGAAGCGATTTGTAGTGATTTTTGTGATTGTTGCAAAACGCTAGCAACCGCCATCAACCGCAAAAGCTGCGTTTGCGGGTGGTAGCGGGGAAACCAGTCAGACCCATAGTCTGATTGATCATTTAATCATAAAACCGGTTTATCGTTTCATAGAAATTTAACTCATCAACCGGTTAAAGTGGTTATCATGAACCGGTTTAAATAATACTGATAAACCGTTGCGGGGTATAAAAATAGAGAATAAGATACGTAGATGCCTATCATAACAAGGGAAGGTTTTAAATTCAAAACGATGGCGTTTCTTCGCAAACCCTAGAATTTCGTGTGATTATCATCAATCAGTGATCAATTCAATTGTCTTCTCCAAATCTCGTCAGAAATCATCGATGACCCACAGTCTTGTTTCTATTTCGTTGAGTCGGTCCTTGAGAGATTCAGGATTTTCAAGTTGAGGGAAAATGATTATCCTAACAGATCAAAAAATTAGATAAAGAGAAAATAAAGATAAGATAAGATTATTGTTAATTGATCATTTGCTATCCCCAATTGTTATCAGACTCAAGACTACATATTACAACTCGATACTTAACAAAATGACATCACTTCAACATTATTTTTTTATTAGACTCAATACTCTCTTTTTCCGCCAGAGTCTCCTCTCTTCACTTCTTTTTCTTACTTCAGTCACTCCTCCTCACTCTCTTGAACCTACTCTTCTTCTGAATAAAGGCTAGAGGCTTATCTTATCAATACCTCCCGAAGAAGACTCAGCTTATCCTCAAGCTGGAAATCTGGAAACAACTCCTTCACTCTTCGAACTGGCTCCCAACTACTCTCAAAACTAGGAAGGTCTTTCCACTTGATGAGCACCTTAACTTGCTTATCTGTGCTCAACTTCCTGATGTTTAACACTGTCTCTGGCTCAGAGTCCCACTCCAGTGACGATGATAGGATTAAAGGGAGCTCTTGGACCTTATCGTTTGGTTCCACTGCCTCTTTCAATCGAGAGACATGGAACACAGGGTGGATACGACTATGAGCAGGCATGTCAAGCTTATAGGCCACCTTACCCACACGTGGAATCACTTATTAAGGACCAAAGAACTGCGGTGCCAACTTCGCAACTCTTCTCATAGCGACAATAGTCTAACGGTATGGCCTCAGTTTCAAATATACCTAATCTTCCAACTGAAACTCTAAGTCTCGACGCTTCTTATTAGCTGCAGCCTGCATACGCACCTGAGCAGCAGCCAAATTGTCTCTCAACTCATTCAATAAGGCGTCTCTACTCTGGATCATACTTTCCACCTCATCATTTGCAGAAGGAATATCCCCAAATCGCAACAACATAGGTGGATCTCTCCCATACAATGCTCTGAAAGGAGGGGTGTTAGAAGCTGAGTGATGAGATGTATTGTACCAATATTCTGCCCATGCCAGCCACTTGCTCCTTGAGGATGGTTTCCTGCCAACAAAACAACGCAATTACACTTCAAGACATCGATTAACTACCTCAGTCTGGTTGTCGGATTGAGGATGGTACGCAGTGTTCTTGTGCAAAGCTGTACCCTGACTCTGGAATAAAGCATACCAAAAGTTACTAAGGAACACTTTGTCCCTATCCGACACCATTGTCTTTGGCCCCATGAAGTTTGATCACCTCCCTTATGACTACTTCAACTACAGATTTTGCTGTGAAGGGATGTTTTAACGGAATGAAATAACTGTATTTGGTTAAACGATCCACCACCACTAGGATAGAATCAAACCCTCGTGAAACCGGTAACCCTTCACAAAATCAAGACTTATGTCTGCCCATA